TTGAAGGGGCAGTCATCGGTTGATGGATGCTCAGGACACTGACATTTGCTCACTTCAGTACGGTCCCCTCATCAGGGACTGGCATTGAGCCGATCTAGGTGGAATGGTGACAGAATGATTCCTCGAAGAACTCGGGTGAGTAAACCCTGAAATAATTTTTTCCTCTGATATCTTTTTATTCTTCCGCCTATCATCCAATTCGTCGAGAAGATGACATTTTCACTTACTCAGTTCCCCTTTTCAAATGGACCTTCGGATCTTTTAGCTATGTTCTTGGTTACATACTAATTCGTCGTCATTCCTCTGGCCTATTGATTTTAGTGGCTGCTTAGCGCCTATCGCTGCGAGGCTGCACCTTGACGTGGTGCGCCTCTGTAATTCATTGGGCTGCACCAGATGGAACAATGGATTTATGCGGGTACAAAGCTAAAGCTTGACAAATCCCGTAGGGTGATCAGTGCGAAAATCATAGAAGTGTGAAAAATTCAATGGAAACCAATTCAGTAAAATCCTTTAACAACGAGTCACTACAAGCTTGTGGACTCACCGAGTTTGAAGTGTCAAAATAATAATCCACTATAACTCCGGAGGGGATCATGAGGTATGGAGTATTTGGTTAAAAGAGTCACAGCCCCTTGAAATTCGCATGGGGCAAAGTGTTTGAGTTTGAAGCGTCAAAATATAAATATAAATCCACTGTTGAAATATGCGTGGGGGAAAATTATTTTTAAAGTATGGATTTTGGATCTCTCAAAATTAGACTGTGCTATGGGAGATAGTGCAATGAAGTGAGTGCACTATCAACTCGATTTTTGAACTCGATCAAGTTAGGTGCACTGACTACAGATTCTGGGAGAGCATTCCAGGCTTGGCAAACACGCATGGAAAAGAAATTCCGTCAACATTCCAAACGGCTGTACTGCACTGCCAGCTTCAGATTCAGCTTCAGATTGTTGTTGTTACTGAGCTCCAGCAGATGGCGGCAGGTATGACTGGGGTCTGTCAGAATCTGATAAGCCAAAATCAAATCTCCCCGTAGTCGTCGATATTGACCACTAAATATCCCGAGCAATCTCAGTCTGTCTTCGTAGCGTAACTGGCCTAAACCTTTCACGTTCTTCGTTGCGCGTCGTTGAGGTTTCTCTAAATCAGAGAGGTCTTTCCTCAGCCACGGCTGCCAGACTTGTATTGCATACTCCACGTGTGGTCGTATGTATGCACCTAGACGTTGGTGAAAAACGGATGGATCGAAGCGTCCAAATGTGCGCCGGAGAAGGCCCAAATTTCGAATGCTCGCGTTCGATGCTTGCTTTGCCTGGGCTGAACAACCAAGGTCGGACTGAATCAAGACTCCTAAATCCTTTTCCTCAGCAGTTGTGTGATGCGCATGGTCACCCAGTTTATAGAAAAATGCTGATTGGTGACGTAAGTGTAATACTCTGCACTTTTCTGTGTTGAGTGGGAGTTGGTTCTGAACTGACCACGCATACACCTTATCCAGATCCGCTTGAAGTATTGCGGAGTCGTCTGGGGCATTGGTCGCTCTCCAGACCTTGATGTCGTCGGCATAGAGTAGGCAGTTGGAAGGAATGGGCCGCTATGTCGTCAATATACATCAAAAACAATCGTGGCCCTAGTACCGATCCTTGTGGTACACCACATTCGACTTGGATTGGGTGGGACAGGGACCCACGCACTTTTACCTCTAAGCTCCGGTGGAGAAGAAAGCTTGTGATCCATCCTAGGAGCAGATCACTAATGCCGAAGCTCTGAAGTTTGCAGATCAGAATTCCATGGTCTAGTCGATCGAAGGCCTTTGAGAAATCTAGGTAGACCACGTCCACTCCTGCACCGCTGTCAATTAATTTGGTCCAACTCGATCTTGCTAGCAGCAGATTTGTGGTGCACGATCGATTCCGTCGAAAACCATGCTGTTCATGTGCAAGGAAGGCAGATTCTTCTAGATAGGCTGTTAATACGTCAGCAACAATAGCTTCCATAACCTTTGACAGGACCGGGAGAAGGGTTACAGGACGGTAGTTGGCTGGATCAGAACGGCTACCGCCCTTGTGAATTGGGGTTATGACCCCACATTTCCACATCTCGGATACATACATCTGATCGAAGCAGCGTTGGAAGAATCGTGCCAGAGGCTCTGCTAAACTTTCTCCCATTACCGTAAGGGACTTAGGGTGAATGTTGTCGATTCCAGGAGAGCTGTGCTTATGCATACACAACATCTTCTTAAATACCATCCCCGCCGTGAAAGTTATGTGCGTAAGTTTTGGTTGTAAAACAGCTGCTGACAAAGGAACAGATGACCAAGGAATGCATTGAAAGTTTGAAGCATATCGCAGCCGCAAGGCGTTCGCCGCATCCTCCGTAGTCAGCGTCATGCCATCTGGCGTTTGAAGAGGAGGGATTCCCCGCTTCACCTTGCGCAGGTTGTTTACATCTTGGTAGAGCAGCTTATGATTCGAAACCATGCGTTCCGTCAGATGCTGCTGGTATGTCAGTTTATCCTCACGAACGAGTTGAATTGCATAGGCCGTCCAGCTCTCCGTGCTCGGGTGTTCCCTATAGATACGCCAGGCCGAGTTCCTCACTGCCATACATTTCCGTGTCCTACTTCGCACAAATGAAACAGTCTTCTTCGTGTGGACAATCTTAGTTTCGGATGCCTCTTCGACGAGAGTGCTAAATTGGTTGACGAAATGTGGCCATGCGATTGTCGGTACTTCGTCTGTCAGAAAGTTCCAGTTGGCTATCTCTGCAAGTCGAGCCAGCTCATCGTACCGTATGATAACTCGGCTTTCCCGTGTAGTATCCGCAGGGTATTCTGCGTAGCATATATAATCGAAGAGTAAAACTGCATTAAACAGATCATCAACGATAGCTCATACGAATTCAATCCCAATATTCTCTCCTAAGACTTTAGGTGTAGGTCGATCTCCCTCTTCCCTTTGAATTTAGTCTTGGTCTGCGACAGTGCACAGGTGGTAGTGCACCTGTGTCATGTCTTGTCTCCGACAGTGTGGAAGAGCACAGTTGATTACAGACTTACTACCACCACTGTTCTCCAACCAAATGTGACCCCTGTCTAATAACGTGCGCACCTGCCAAAGCTCATCCCCATGCCACACGTTTGTGAATTACCTATACTTTATTTTTGCTCCATCAGGATCATTCATGACTGACCTGAACCGGATCTTCATGAGCCCATGCAGCTGCACTCGCGGCGCTGACCGGCTTCCCGTTGCTTTTTAAGCTACATTATTGTGTTACAGGTTAGTAGCGGAACCCACCAAATATACTTGCCATTACGGATTGACCAACAAAACAGTATACTCCCTCTACATCGATCCGCCACTATTTGAATAGCCGATGTATCTTCTCATGGAATGTTCGGCAAAAAATTATTCCCTGTTTTCATGACCTATATGTCGTGCTACTCAAGGTCTACATTCTGTTTCACACCGGGCACCAAGTAAGATGGACAACGCCTTCGAAGCTTCAGTAGAAGCTGTGAACATTTCAACTCATCTTCGACTATCTGGTTCATGTTTTAGTGGCCGTGTTCATGTTATTCGCTTAGCTGCTGTTGTTTAGTCCCCGATGAAGGGCATTTGCGGTGTTTGGTTTGCATACACCAGCGGCTATGAGGCTAGTTTAGGGACAACTTTGCAAGAGGATGATGCTCGCCCGCCTCACCCTCCTCCCATGATTCGTTGGGAATGCCCGCTTCTGGTACCACCTAGAAAGACGAAACGACTATCCATTTTGCCAAATGTGTGGGTGAGACTACACATATGTTCCCGCGATGATTCTCACGACTTGTCACTTGTGTGGTGTAGTGGCTGTTTGCCTGAGTCTAACTGCGACGAATCTCTACAAAAACTGGTCAGTCGTGTGTTGACTTGGATTTCTAATGAGTAGTGGGGATGTTGGTATAATTTCAGAGGTCGTCGCAGTCCCCTCTCAGTCAGCAGGCTTCGACCCCTCTAGAAGGGCACTAGACAGTGGTCCGATGAATGCGCAGCAACTGACGAGACCCAAAAGGTGTAAACAGTGCTGTCTTATGCTTTTCCAGACTTGGCAAAGCCTGCTAACTGAGTGGCTGCGACGAACTGCCTCTAAACTTATGTCAAAATCCCCACTACTCATTAGTAATCTATGATCCGTCTGTATAGCTTCTGTGTCGTACACAGTTACTCCGCGGATAGTCGTGGCTCCTGGGACCAACGTCTGTCCTCTGCACAGTTCCCAACTGGCATGACAATGCAGAAAGAACGGGGCAGAATGGTAATCAATTGTCAGTCAGACAGGTCTGCGGTCATTGCCCATGTCTTAAGGGCACAAGGTGCCCGCATCCGAAAGTCACGGGGTCGGAATCTAGCAGGGTTCTGAAGAAGGCGCACCGCTGAGGAGACTCGGAATGTCGAAACAGCGCTGTCTGGTGCCTTTCCAAACATGTCGAACTCTGCTGACCGAGGAGGGACTCCAACGAACTGCCTCTGATTTAGATTTCCCCACGCGCACGATACACGTGAATGCGACGCCGTCCCTTCTGTGCACCCTCTTTATCCGAGCAGGTTTGATTAAACCTTGGCGTTAGACCTACATCCATCGGTACGCTCCTAAAGTGGTACCTTTTTGATTTACTTTTTGTGTACTCATGAGTAGCGATATTTGATGAGATTTGTTTGACTCATCGCAATTAGGTTACAGGCCTGGTAAGCCAACTACCAATCCAGGAGAAACATCATACGGCCGTTTCATCAGGTTGGGAATTGTCAATCGTTCGCATTCTCTCAGTCCCCTTCACGGAACCGAGCCCATGACCGCAAGTGGCGTGCATCACCAACCAGCAGTTTATGCAACTGAGCCACGGGGGTTGTTGGCCTATCTGGATTATAACCGAATTACTATGAATCAAATAAATCCATTTTTGTGGCTAATTCTTGATTATAACCCTTGTATCGCTCCCTTGGGTCTGACTCCGACCAGATTCGCGTCGTCTATCGTTGTTCTGAAATCAATTTTTTAAATCTATTGGACTAATACATGCACGCACTTTGACTCGTTGTCATTTTCATGTCGTTCTCGTTTCAGGGCTCCGTCCAATCCTTGGCATTCTCCCCCTGCGGCCGATATTTGGCCAGCGGGGGTTGGTGCGGTGCTGTGTGCTTGTGGGATCTTGGCACTGGACATCAGGTTGGCCAACTTGGCGGCTACTCAGCGTCTACGAGCCAGCCTCGATCGGATCCCTCCGCATCCTCACCAATGGATGAATCAAGCTGTTGGTTGACTGGACCAGTGGTCACCTTGGCCTATTGTCCGGACAACTCTGGCCGCTTGGCTGCCGGGGGCTTGGACGGTGTGGTTCGCATTTGGGACACGAGTGGTGGACGATGCACAACGCGTACATCCGCTCCATCCGATAAAGCACAGTCAGTGTCCCCTTCTGGTCTTGTCGGAATGCATCGTTCGTCGAAACAGCAAATCGCTCGAGGTCAGACGACAAGCATGATAAATCCCAACTATTCCAGTTACTATTCCTCAGTCACGGGGCCTACGGTATCAACCAAGTGTCTTCAGGAGTGCTTCTTCACTCGACGCACTTCTATTCTCAAGCTGCAGTACTTGCACCCCCATCTCCTGCTCGCCGTTGGACCGTATAATCAGAACTGACAGACAGCACCGTCATATATGTGGCTGTTCTCGTATCTTTCTACACACCTATCGGTCGGAGAATGATTTGGTACGATCGAATGGGGCGTAGTCGCTTCTTGTATATATTTCCCAATAAAAAATGTGAACTGTGTATTTCCTAACATCTCTACTTACCCTCATCGTAACTACATCCATTCTTCGTGCTCCGCGACTATACTAGATACTGTAAAGAACCAGTAAAATGATAAATCCGTGTGTATCTACATTTGAAATACCGCAGATACCATGACCTCTTATGCAAGCGAGCTTTCCGGATATTTCACTTAGGCAGTGTTTGGCAAGGAATCTTTTTAATTACCAATCCAATTTTGCCTCAACTACATGCGGCGGTAAGTTGTTTCATATTTTTCCGCATCGTTTTCATTTCCGTCTACTTCAACGATTTTTGAGGACTAGGTTCCATCAAAGAGGGACCATAATCAGTTGAAGAGGACACTTGTGAAATCGCTCCCACTTATGGGGCCGTGTACCGTCCGTCGGTAAATATACAAATTTATTTATTTATTTGTGACGTTATCATCCCTCATGGCTCAAAGGCATAAGCTTATGGCTAGTAGCGTAAGCCACTAGGATTTCCAGAAATTTCTAGATGGAAATTTTCAGACCTCAACGAAGGTAGATAGTAGGCGACCGCAACGAAAGAACGTGCCACAGTTTCGCGACGTAAAGCAGGCCTGCAGCAAATTAGGCGGGAAGCCGATGAAATCAGTTCGTCATCATAACACAGCTTGCTACGCGACACGTGTGAGTGCGACTACAGCCGGCCAATGGAGACCGCGAGCCAGCTGGAAATCTGCCTAGACACGTGGCGTGAGTCAGCTCAGAAACCTGCAATCAGAGGTGACGGCAGGTGACCTATAAAATTGACCGTGTTCTTTTCCTACTACACGTCAGTCTGACAAGCTTCGGTGTTCTGGTTTTGTCCCCTGCTGGATTTGCGGCTTAGAGAGCAGAGGCGAAGGGCAGCGTTACGACATGGAGACAAAGAGGAGCAAGCGCCTTCAGATGTGGCAAATGACCGGATACCAGAGGACACTGACATAGATCCAGTAACGGTAACGGCTCGTCAATACGTAGCTACTTCATTTCCAAGCCACATGAAAATTCCACCTAAGTTACACATTTCGGCATGAGCCATCTTCTATAAGCAATTGTATTGTGAAAAATGAACAGTTTGTCATACCTGGCAAACTTATTCTGGCAGTACTTGGATGCGTAAATGAAGGTCACCCGGGAATTTTTTGAGCAAAATCCCGCTTACACCAATACTTCTGGTGGCCAAACTTGTATTCCAGCCTTGAGGCCATCGTCCGGGAATGCTACTCCTGCGGGCAATCCGATAAAAGTGCAAGGCTGCTGGACGCTCCAGTTCAGCGTATCGAGTTACCCTATGAAGCCATGAGCAAAATTTGTCATTGATATCATGGGACCCTTCCCCAATGCATCACTATGGAAACGCAACCTGCCAGTTGCTACCTGACACTACAGCAAATGACCGGAGGATATTATTATTATTATTATTATTATTATTATTATGAAATGCCGCCGCTGCTTGGTCGCAACCTTTGGATTGCCAGAAGTAATAGTCACTGATATTGGGCCTTAGTTTCGAATCAATTAATACAGCGAGTTCCTAAGCTGCAATGGTATCCGACACTCAAAAACGGCGCCGTACAATCCTGCCTCTATTGATCTAGCTATATGTCTCAACCGTAGTCTGCGAATCTTGGCAAGTTCCCCAGCTTTTGGGCTCAACTTGTGACGATGCGTCGGAGTCTGCTTTTGGAGGTGTATTGAACCGTACCCCCTACTATAACGATGGAAACCCCATCTGAATCAATGTTGGGGAGAACAGTGCTCCCGGTAGCAATCTCAATCTCTTTGTCTCGATGTACTGGTTCCTATCATGCGAAGAGAGTTACCTTCAGGTCGCGTAAAACCGCTGCTGAACTCATACACCAATTACGGCGTTCCGCAAAACGGATAACTTGTCGTTCTTGATGCAACACCATTATTTGGTCACATTGCTGAAGCTAGTTTATCACACGAAACAAATCGTTGGGGAAAGTGGGCTTTTGACCGTCGATTTAAAAACCGTGAACCGATCATTCTTAAATCGCAGATTTACCAAGCGTATCCAAGGCACAGTCTCACTCGTAGATCCACATGGCTGCAACATAACAGACCGTGCTCAAACTCGCGTGATGTTTAACCAATGTTTCTGAGTCTCCAACATGGGTACCGCAACCCTACTCAGGATCTTACCAATAGTCACGGTCGATCGGCCCAACTATATCATATTTGAGCTCTACAATATGCACAAATTTATCAGGTACATACAATTATCACATTTCGCTGGTCCGGACAATATTCCTCTCCCATAGTTGTGAAATTGATCAAGAATGACATCCCCCTGCTATTGCTGAGTATGTTCGATCTATCCATGAACACCGACACCGCACCAGTTTAGTGGAAAGAAGTTATAGTCGTGTCGCAACATACATCTGGCTCACTTCCCGGGCTTCGAAATTATCGCTCAATAAGCCACGTATCTAATGTAAATTTATGGAACATGTCAAAGCTAAAACTGTCGAATTCCTACCATCAAGAAAGCCAATTAACAACTCTCAACACGACTTCTTGACAACTCGGTGTTGTATTGCATGCCACCAATGTCTAGACAATCTAACTGGCTCGCATGATCTCGGTATGTTGGCTACTCTAATTTACCTCCGCATACACAATGCCTTTAATTGGGTGCCTCATGAAAATCTGGTAACTAAAGCGATGTCCTTCGGGATCAATGAACCCTTGTTTTCTCGGTTCAGGTAGTGCAAATTCAAGGGTACAAGCATCAGCCTACACCAGTCACCATTGATGTGATACCAGGAAATGTTCTTGGGCCTCTACTACGCTTAATAAATGTTAAGACAACACAGCCGATCTCATCAATGTGCCAGACTATAAATTAACTACAAAACAGCACCCTGAAAGCAGTTTGAATATAAAAAGAAAGAGATAAACACCATCACACTGCGAATCAGCTGGTCAGGTCTGTAGAACTGGGGTACTCAACCTTGAGGTAATTAACCCCAAAGGAGTGAATAAAATTCTACCGAGGATCAATCTATAAATATGAGGATTGGGTCATCAATCTGTTACCAACCAAAAGTGATAACAAAATCATCTGTATCAAAACATATAGCTACCTGATCACTATTGATTAGCCATCAGTGATTGATGAATCATCGGTAAGTGATCAGTGAATTAGACCCTTTCGGTACCAAATTTTATTACTTAAAATACGAATACAAGTCTGCAAAGCAGCGCGGCTAGATGGCTCTCTGGTCAATCACTGTTATTTTGAGTCAGGTAGTCACTCGTCAGGTCGAGTTGAATGAACACTACGGTGGGAGAATAGGCCTGCCGACCAAGTAAAGTTGCCAGCGAATCTTTACGTGGTTGAAGGGGCAAAACAGGCGATTACTGTTCAGGACCTATCGACGCAGCGTAGTAGTGGGAACCTGTCAAGCAGGACGGACTTGGAAGGCATGGTTGAAACAAATGAGAAGTCACTGACCTCGGTTCATGTTTGGCCAGGAATCACACACCAAAGCAAGGAACTGAATTTGCGCATTGGCCGAAACCGAATTAAATATGCTAGAAATTGTTGGAAATAAGCAATATCAACGGTCTCATTAACACACCTCTTGCCTAATAACGGATTGCGCGCAAATAGGTGTTTTTCATGTTAATTATCGCGAATAAACGACAATTATATTCATTTTCAGAAATTTAAAGCGTGACGGAATAGTTAATTAGCCTCTTAAACTGAAACTTTTTGTGAGATATTTGTTTATATTGAAACCACTTTGTGGGTAACAGCCTCAAAAGCCTTGAGGATCACTGCTCTAGAAAGACAGAGTTGAGGTCTCGCAGAAATGCGAAAGGTAAGGTGTAACCGACGAGCGCTTGGTTTGTGTACGAGCATGTCACTTTATACTTCTACCTAGTGGATAAAGTTGAAAGACATCCAGGTAAAGCGTTGTGAAGCGGATTACTTGTATTGGCCAGTATCTCAGCTGGTGGTTTCTTACAATAATTGGTGTGTGTAGACAGAAGTGTGCTGACGAAAGCAGGCGTCGTAATGCCTCTGCATCGGGATAAGTGTCGTAAATACCTAATAATTAACTTAAAATGTTTATGTAGAAAGGTGCGCAAACAAATCACATTCAAAACCACCAATCTAAATTCGCCATCGGCCTTTGAACACCTGAAAGACACATACTTCGGTTCACTGGGAAGTGACGAGTGAGTGAGGCAATCTGCAACACCAGGACAGATACTGTTAGCTTATTGGCAATACGTCGCGAAGTCATGGATTAAATTGCGCACCTGTTCGTCAGCCCTCGGTAGCTCAGTTGGTAGAGCAGAGGACCCGGTAATCCGTATGTCCGGGGTCGATTCCTCGTTGAGGCAGATTATTGTGCAAAGTTTAACCGTGGCTTTTACTCTATACAGAAATTACATACTCACAAAACCATCAATTTAAAATGTGTACCCAGAAGACCGGGGAAACTCGCAGGGGAGCAGTACATCCACTGGGGAAGAATACAGGCACTGACAAAGCGAACGATCAACTCACGGGAAACAGATGTGGTTCTTAGACGAGAGGCGTAGAAAGACAATCTTGGGACTTCTTTGATTTCAGTTACATGAAGAGTCCAAGATAAATCATAGTTCAATATCACACCAAGTTCAGTTCACTTATGTTGCAAAGGGTAATCCATCGTCACCAATAAACAGCTTGGGGCACTGTGTAATTAGCTGCTCGTACCTTAGTCCTTTGAGTAAAGAAAGGAATATCATGACACTTTGCTATATTAAGACAGCGGCTGCGTGCTTTGGACCAAATAATGTGTTCGGCCGGATGATTTTGCAACCTGTGGGAGGGTTCGATGCTTGACATCCAGGATAACGTCGTCAACATATTTTAGTAGGGTTGCTTCTGCGGGCACTGTTATTGAGCTGACGTAAGTAGAAAAAAGAAAAGGAGACAGAATTGCTCCCGGAGTTGATGATTAGTGGGGGAGCATCTACCACTGAGTCGAGTAGTCTGAGTGCGTCCAGCAAAATAATCACTGAGCAAATAACCGATAGATACATGTAGATGGATGAATCGTTCAGCAGCAATTCGCGATTTACACAGCCGAATGCATTGCCATAATCAAGAAAGCACATACGGATTGGTTTGTTTCTCTTGCCAAATGATGACAATACAGGATGTGTTGTTGGTAGACTATGGCTGAAGCACACTGAGTAAAGGAACGCTTCAGCATTACCTCTACGACCCTTCACAGAGAAGCAAAAGACTAATTCATGGAGAAGAACGTGAGCATAGATGCAAACGATGGAAAGGCGTTGGGTTGCGCCACCTGATTCCTTGGTCCTGCTTAATTCGAAAATAGCAACGGCCTGACGAAGCAATAGGTAGCTCCAGTTCT